AATATACTTACTCTCTGGATTTCTCATATAAGAGAAACCATGCAATAGTTAAGCTTGTGTGTTTGTTAAATCCTTATTTGTATAGTCCTTCAGAGTTGGATATAGTTTTTTAAAAAATGAAACCTAGTCAGGTGTGATGGCACATGTCTGTAATCCTAGCACTTGGGAAGCTGAGGCAAGAGGATCACTTTGAGTACAAGACCAGACTAGGCTTCAGAGAAAGTTCAAGGCTAGCCTGAACTCTATTGTGAGACCCTGTCTTGAAAAAAAAAACAACAAAAAAACCCAAAATGAGATCATATCACAAATGTTGTTTATTTACTTTTGTTTTGTAGGCTTCCTTTTTCACTTGTTATTATCATGGACATTTTTTCACGTTTCTACTAAAATTTTATATCATTTTTAGTTTCTGGCTTAGTTTATAGACATACTGTATGATTGCTTCATAATTTATTTTACTTTTCCTTATTGGCAAGACCTTAAAGTTGTTTTTACTTTTTCTCCAAATAACAGTAGAAGGAGTATTCTTTTGGTACCGGGGATCGAACTCAGGTCCTTGCGCTTGCGCAGCAGGCGGCGAAACCACTGAGCTAAATCCCCAGCCCAGAAGGAATATCCTTGTAGTCAAATCCTTGAACTCTGGTTGAGGTAAGAATTTTCATGTTTTATATGATGATTCTCCCTTCTCGCTCTGAAGCATCCTTCCTCTTTCCAATCTTCCTTCGGCAGTTCTTCCGCAATGTGGACTTCAGACAACTTGGATCAGCATCAGCTTTGGTGCCTGTTTAACACTGCAGATCCCTTACTCTTTCCCTAAATCGCACTCTGGGGAGGAGGATGCTTTTAACAAAGTGGCCCCGGTATTCCAACCCCACTGATGCTTGCAGCCTGCAGCATGGGAAACATGGAGTGACCACCACCTGGGTGATGTCCCCACCCCCCCGGATCTCATGGGCCCACGTAAGAAAGAGAAGGACAAGATCAGTGTCAATTTGACTAGCTCCATTGAATTCTCAAAAGATGGCCTCTAGTACCATGCTTCTTCTTGGTCTTGCTGTACAAGCAGTCAAAATTCAAATTTTCAAGTTCAGATAGAATTTGGGGGTCATTCTTATCTTCTCTGAACTTCTTCACCACCATGTCAGAACAAACCCCAAATGCACAGAATTTTTTTTTCAGTACTAGGAACTGAACCCAGGGCCTCTGCACTGAGCTACATTCCCATCCCTTTTTATTTTTTATTTTAGCTAAGTTGCTAAGTTGCCCAAGCTCCTGCCTCAGCCTCCCAGAGTGCTTGAATTGGCCCAGCTAGAAATGCTTTTCTTGAAATAACAATACCTTGTAGCTTGCCTTCTTTCCAAGGGCAGAGCAACCTGCACCAGTTTCTAAAAATAGACCCTTCTGATACAGGTCACTAAGCAGAAATGGGCTCCTTGCCACTCTGTTTGCAGCATTTTACATCTGATACCTTTAGTGCTGACCTAATGTGGCGTGAGGACCAGCATCAGCCTGGGGGAACCCTTGGTAAAAGGCCACCGGGAGTGGCAGCTGGTGACCATGCTGCAGGATTCCCCCAAAGCCTCCTGCCTTTCCTTCACCACCCCTCAGCCTCTGGCTCTGTCTGAAGTCAGGGACCAAGGTCAGAAACTCCATGTCACACAGGAGATACTAACAAACAGAAAAGTAAGCTCGAGTTCAGGAGTCGAAGACCCACAGTGTTTGATTTGGCTTTGTTGAACATATCTTGAATTTGTTCTTTCTGCAAACCTGTGGGCTTACAAGGCCTCATCTGGCTGCCAATTTAATTTGGAGATCTTCCAATAAAACATCCAGAAAAGGCTGCCTTTTTTGCTACTTTCAAAACAGCCCTGCAATAGGAAGAGGTCTTTTCTTTTTGTGCAACAACTTATATATCCCTGTCCTGGCCCCTGAATGCACAGACTATGTGGGTAGTGTTAGAATTATAATTCCTTGGGATTAATATACTAAGTTTAAGGATATGAGATCAAAGAACAGGTGCTCTTGACATTGAATATACATGAAGTGATTGAGCTGGACCCTGGGCATTCACATCCATAGAAGTCATAGTAGGTTCTGATGAAGTGGATTAATTTGAATCAAACTTAGAATGCTACTTACAGGAGTCAGTTTTGATTTGTGCATTAGCCTTCGATCTTAATTCTAATAAACTCTTAAAAATATGAGCTTTGGAGATCTTAAGTACTTTCATCATCTTGTTTACAACCTTGGAGATAGGTCCTATTATTACTCATCTTTACAGATGAGAAATAGATGATTGAGAAGGCAGGCTGATCGAGCGACACATCTGCTGGGTGTGGGTCTGAACTTCCGCAGGCTGTGTTCAGCTGTGCTGGTTTTCTCTGATCCTTTAAACCAAGCCAGTGGAGTTTCTAGGCCTCCAGGTGACCAAGGTTGGGCTCTCATTTGTTTTGCTTTATGACAGCACACACTGGTGCCCTTTGTCTTCCCAGCAGCACTGATTGGCATTCCCTTAAATAAATTAACCTTGCCATCTCATCTCACTTGCTCGATGGGAGCAAGTCCACGTGCCAGTAAAAACAAATGGGGAGACAGTGTGGCAGGGTGTGGGGCATGACAGAGGGCTTCAGGGTTTACTGGAACATGAGCACAGGCTCATCATCCTCTGTGCCACCCTGCCCAGGACCAAACCGAACCAAAGCCAACCACTTGATTCCCATCACAGTTTGTTCTGTAGTTTTATTTTGTTTTATTTATTTTTGTTAGCGGGGATCGAACTTGGGACCTTGTGCTTGCAAGGCAGGCAGTGGAACCACTGAGCTAAATCCCCAGCCCAGTTCTGTAATTTTATAAGTGACTGAAATACCAGATATTAAAATGTTGGAATGTTCATTGTTTTATAAGGGAACATTGTGAAGTTCTAGTGAGATTTTGTCATTTCACTCTCAAATAGGGTAGGAGATGCTTGATGAATGACAGAGGGCTTCAGAGTGAACCTTGTTGCTTCGCACAGCCCTGGAAGTCTCTGTCCCTGTGGGATGGGCTTTGGCCATGTCACACTCAGCTTCTGGAGCTGACCTTGGTCTCTGTGCCCTGTGCCAGTGTCCTGATGAAGCCCTTGGCTTCCTTCACTGCTCTCTGCTACCCACCCAGGCTTTCCTGCCTTTCCTGGGTCCCCATCGGAGCTCGCCTGTTCATTCTTGATGTTCCCTCCCAACCTTGCAGGGAGGTGACTCGCTCATCTCCAGACCTCGACTAAGAATAGCAAAAATCCTGTGAGAGCAGTACAATCTCACACTAACATAAAGTGGGGATAACAAAGCTACTATTCTTATTTTTTAAAGGTGGCTTTGCAGTATTTCCCATACAGAAGCATGTTTTCAGTGTTATAATCTACACTTGATCTTAGCCAAAGGGCTGAGAAGCGATTCCAATGTTATAATCTCAAGGGCTGGGGATTGAGCTCAGTGGTGCCAAGCCTGCCTCGCAAGTTTGATCCCTGGTATCGCAAAAACAAAAACAAAAAACAATGTTATAATCTAAGTGAAAATTGGTTGGTGTTTTCTGTATAGATAGGTGTGTCCGGTCATTAGAAGCAGTCAGGCCCTGGGTGACCGGGAAGGCTGGCCTTGGCCACATCCTGCATGTCCTGGAGCTCCCAACCACCTGCCATGGGGTACAGCCCGCAGGGTGCCTTAGGGGACTCCAGGTAAGAGACAGAGGACAGGTTACATATCCCAGTGCTGTGGTTAAAGGCTCATTTCACAATTCTGGAAATCATTTTACAAGAATATTGTAATAATTCAAATATGACTGTGTCCTTGACACAGTGTTCCCTGGTTCTGGGCTCTCATCGCTGTCCTCCCTGTCACAGTTGGACTCCAGACTGGAGCGGATGAAGCCATGGTTGGCCCTGGCTGGGGTGAAGCCCCTGGGGTTGGCAGCGATTCCCACCTGCAGACTTGGCCTCTGCTCAGTGTCTTAGCTTCAGTTACCTAGTCACCTGCTGGGGCCTCATTGCAGTAGCTCCTGGCCCTGGCCCCGGCCCCTGGCCCCTGACTCCCTGCAGGCTTGCGTCCCCTTCCTGACCCCCAGAGCCATCCATCCCATTGCTAAACTGCTAGCTGAGAGCCATATCTCAGATTCTCCTCTCTGACCACACCATGGGGACTCTCCAGGGACCTGGGCCAGGTTCTTGGCTTCCCCTCACTTGCTGGCACTCCTGTCCTCTTTCCTGGAGGCCAGAGGTGAAGGGGAACATGGTTCCCACAGCTTGGCCTGCTACCACTTACCCTGCAGTATCTGGGACCCAGAAGGCTGGGGCTCCTCATCACCTGCATGGTCCTCAGCCTCACTCCCAGGCTAATCATGGCCTCCAGTGTTAGGTGAGCAGGGACCTTCTTTTCAAGATAGGGAAACTCTGGTGATATACAGGCCTAACCCTGTATAGGTTCCAGTGGTTTTCCAGAAATGCAAATTCCCAGGCCTCCCCTAAACCTACTGAATTAGAAACTAGGATGTGGGCCGACAATCTGTGGTTCACTGAGCCTTCCCTGGGATTCTGATAACCCCCACCCCCGGCCCCGCAAGGAAAACCGTTGTGTTACAGATTTCAGCAAATACTTGCTCCCTCTACCTCCTTCTCTCTTATAGTTTGCAAGCCTGAAGTCTTGTTAAGTAGACCAGTTATTCTTTCCTAATCTGAATCTGATTAATCTGATTACCTTCTAAATAAACTCAAAATAACTCGCAGTAAAAGAAAAAAAGAGAGAGAGAGAGGACCAGGGATTTAGCTCAGTGGTGCTGCCACCTGCCTCGAAAGCGCAAGGTCCCGAGTTCGACCCCTGGTACCCTCCAAAAAAAAAAAAAGAACTCTTTAGGGCCGGGGATGTAGCTCAGTGGTTCCGCTGCCTGCCTCACAAGCGAAAGGTCCTGAGTTCGATCCCCAGTACCAAAAAAAAGAAAGAAAGAAATGAAAAAGAGCTTCAGCCATGCATGGTGGTGCACACCAGCATTCTGGGAGACTGGAGCAGGAGGATGGTAAGTTCAAGTGCCACCTGTGCTCCTTAGCAACTCAGCTAGAGACTGCCTCAAAATAAAAAATAATAAAGGGCAGGGGAAGTAGCTTAGTGGGAAGAACCTAGGTTCAACCCCCAGTATGGGGTGGGGGGTGGGGATGGGGTCAAACCAAGCCAAAATGAAACAAAAGAAAAAAAAAACCAAATGGAATTTGCAAACTTTTAGGAAGGAAATTACATACACTGTAATCAGGAAAAACCTTGTGGAATATACTTGTCGTAAAAGAAATGATTCTGCGTAGATGAGGCACTCAAGAGTGGTCAGATTCGTAGAGACTGACAGGACAATGGTCTGCCAAGCACTGCAGAGGAGTCACCGGGGAGTTGTTTGGTAGGGACAGAGCAGGGTTTCGGTTTGGAAAAGAGGTCTGAAGATAAATGGCAGCAGTGGTAATACCAGACTGTGGAAAGACTGAATTCTAGTGAATTGTACACTTTAAGATGGGTGAAATGGTAATACCACCATTACATTTTAAATAAAAAAATAAAGTAAAAGGAATTTGGTAACTAAAGCAAAAATTAAAGCTATGTGTTAACATGGTTTAAGTCCTTAACAATCAGAATTGGTTTGAAAACAGGTCACATGTCTGGCTTAGCTGTTTGTCCAGGAGACACAATCTGAGAGGCTAGGATTCAGATCTCAATATTGCAACAGATATGCCTGGCAAATTTGGGCATTTTATCAAATCTTAGTTGAGTTTCTGAGCTACTTAAAGTATAAGATGGAGCTAGTCAAATAAATTTGTGTCTATAATTCAAAGAGGGTAGCTGGTCTATTAAGATCAAAGGTAATACATATGTGGAATATTTTTATATTTTAGGCTAAAATAAAAAACCTGTATAAATTAACTCCTACTGGTCTCCATCCTGTATCTTCTACATAAAATGTATTGGTGAGTCTTCAGCTTTTCCCCATGGGCCTAAGCCCCTGAGAAGGGCCTGGCAATGCATCATGTCTCTTGGTTTGGGCAGGAAGTCTTCCAGGTCCCTTTTGCTTTCCCTTTCCAGTCCTTTGGCCTCAGGTGAATGGTCCCATCCTCTGCAGAGGCAGCAACAGGAGGCCGTGCTATTGGCCGACTGCCAGGGAGGTGGGCTTTAGATCCCCCACTTCCCAAATTAGTTGCCTGCCCAATAAAATCACATTCTTTAGTATAATCAGTTCATGCTTTCTCAATTTTGTTAAAGGATGAATTGAAGCATCTTCACAAAACTGCTCCAGTCTAGGTAAAAACTGAACTGACCATGCAGAACACAGTTTCAAGACGAGTTCCTACAGCTCCTTCACAATCCAGTTGCTAGCAGTTGGCCCCTCTTTTATGAAATTCTTCAGCCACCACTGTTCTGATCCCATTTCCATTCTACACAAATTTCCAGAGAGGGAGAAAAGTCTTTAAACATCCGATTCTAATTTCTGTCTCAGAACTATCTCCATACCAGACAATATCCTCATAAGCTCCAGGAAATTAGCTTAGTAATTAAAGGTAGATAAGACTTATACTAATAAAAGATAATGTTACCTTTGTTTTCTTTTCGGTGTTCATTAAATTGCTTTTTTTTAAAAAAAGTATCAAATAATAAACACCAGCTTTTAATACTATTACCACCAACCCTGATACAGTGAATCATGAAATCACAGTCAGATTCCAAATGAAACAATGTTCATTATGCTCTTGGTTAAGAAATGAAGCTTATCGTGCTATTGCGGAAAAGTTAAGAAAATACACATTTACTAATTTTATAGGAAAGTGGTGTGATGCAAATGAAAATACTTGGGCTTTAGAATAACCAAAGACTTTTCGCTTACTTGTGGTGTAATTCTAGCTGCATAACCCCTCACAGACTCCGTTCCTTTCACTGTGCAGTTGGAATCAGTTTCATACACAATTGTGTCTCAGCAGGGTTCTGTGAAGCTGAAATGTAAGTCTGAGATATAGTTGTTGCTTATCATCACAGGGCAGTGGTCCCAGGAAACCAATCCCTTGAATACCGAAATCTGCAGATGTTCTGATCCTGTCTATAAAATGGTGTGGCGTTTGCTTGTCATCTACACACATCCTCTCATACTCAACATCATCACTAGATCACTTTTTTTTTTTTTGGTACTGGGGATCAAACTCTGGACCTTGTGCTTCTGAGGCAGGCAGCAGAACCACTGAGCTAAATCCCTGGCCCTAGATCACTTTTAATACCTAGTACAATGGAAATGCTTTGTAAATGCATTTGCTGCATCGTACACTGTAGTTATACTGTGCTGAGTAATGACAAGGGGGAAAGTCTGTACATACTCAGTACAGATGCAATTTATTTTCTAAGTGTTTTGTTTTTTGTTTTTTGTTTGGTATCAGGGATCAAACTCAGGTCCTTGCGCTTGCGAGGCAGGTGGCGGAACCACTGAGCTAAATCCCCGGCCCCTTTCTGAGTGTTTTTGATCCAAGGTTGTTTTAATCCCTGGAGGCAGAGCCTATAGAGTCAGAAGAGGGAATCCTTGGGTGGTGACTGCTTAGGATATGGAACTATCTATCTGAAGTAATAGGCATGAAAAAGTGACAGACAGCGAGCCTAAAGGAGCTTTGAGCTGAGTCTGTGGACTTTGTTGTCATTGATTTTGCCATCACGCTTTCCAGTTCAACCTTCATTTAGTGAAATGCGCTTTTATTTCTTTCAACCTGAAGAAGCAAAATCTGTTACCAGTTTCTCATTATGAAGATTTGAACCAAGCAGGAGCAGCAACAAGCTGATCAATATTGGAGGTCCCAGGTGAGGCTGGAGAGTCTAGACTAGTTCTTGGTGGGCGCTAGAAATGTCCGGTGTCATTTCCATTCCTTACAAGGTTAATGTACTTTACCTGGCCTGTGAATGTTACACCTTAATGATTTTTTCCCTAGTATTGAGGACTGAAGTCAGGGTCTTGTGCATGCTAGGCAAGCTGTACCCTGGCCCTTAAAAATGATTTGAGCAAGATGCACAGAAGGATCAAGGTCTACACACACCAAATCCACTTTAAAATTAGTCATTTTTAGTTGGGAGTGGTCACTGATGCCTGGAATCCCAGTATTCTGAGAGGCTGAGGCTGGAGAATTGCAATTTCTAGCCCAGCCCGGGTAACTTAGTGACTAGGTGAGACTCTGTATCAAAATAAAAATCACTGGAGATATAGCTCAGTGTGAAGGCCCCTGGGTTCAATCCCCAGTACCACCAAAGAGAAAAAGGAAAAAAAAAATCAAGTTTGATTTTAAAAAGCCAACTCAATGAATTTAATAATGTTCTTGCACAAATATTTGGCCTGCAGATGTTTGTTTAGTCCACATTGAAAATTGGGAAGTTTTACATTGTCTGGACATCTGGCCTCTGGAGAAATCAGTTGAAATCAATTGAGGTGGCAGCAGTGGTTGGAGCCATGGGCCCCCACCTGGGCAGAGGCCTCCCCTCCCTGGCTTGCCCAAGCCCTCTGCTTCCTGTAGTCTCACACCTGCTGCCTGGCTACTTTCCTTACTTCCCAGGCCCATCAGGCACTGCAGCTTGCCAGCCTGGTAGCCCAGACACAGGCTGGCTAGTTATCTTTCTCATCGCCAACCGTTTGGACTGCCTTGTCCAGGGGTGGCCTTCGGACAGGTTCTAATACTAAACCAGAGAAAGGAATGCTGTATCTTGCCCTCTCTGACCTCCCTGGTGCCCATTTTAGTGAGGACTCACGACACGTTTACTGGGTGACTGAAAAGCCCACATCCTGTGCTGCCTGCCTGCCTGTGTGTATCTTGTGTCATGTTTCAAGTCACGTGGCCTTGCTGGTTCCACTGCGCTTAAACTGCCTTTTTCTACTGCAGCACAGATGTAGGGTTAGGAAAGAGAAAGGAAAAATATTCTCTTCCTGCTCACTTTAAGTTATGATTTGAAGCAGGTTTTATTATACCAAATTATCATCAGGCTAATTGCTTGACAGCCTCTCCTGTTAGCTGGCTGGCGCCATTCAGCTGATCCACTCTGCTGATAGTGGGCGGCAGAGGCGGGGCATTTTCTCACCATGGAGAATTCTGCTACCCGGGGAGAAATGCCCAGAGCATCATACAACCAGTCCAACTTGGGCAGTGACGTTTAAGGAAATGTAATCTGAAGTCAGGCCATCTGGCTTTGAGTACTTACTACCATTTGTTAATTCTGTGGTTTAGGAGTTTTTCACCTCTCTAACATTCATCAACTGTGAAATGGGCATAATAATAGCATCTCCATAGTAGGATTGTTGAAAGGGTTCAAACAAAACATATATAAGTACTTGGTATCCTGCTTGGTAAGTAGTGAGCACCCTACTAACTAGGTACATATGTACATAGATAAATGTAAGTGATGTATACTGCTATTTTTATACCCTATTCATTTTTTTTATGTTAGCCGTGTAGTGTCCCTAGGGATTAAAATGAGCCATTAATAGTGCTGTGATTTTCTTCCTTTCTTCAGAATTTTCTTTTTATCCCAAAGGCTAAATTGTGAACATAAATGTAATTCTTTTACCTTCATTCTCAGCACCGAATGGTAACTTGAATTCAGTTGATTGAATTCCGTGCCTTTACCTGCTGCCTTTTGGCCTCTAACATCCTAATGAGGAGATACTTTGATTTTTCCCAAAGAATGAGAGAACATGAAAGAAGAGAAAAAAATAACAAGGGTGATCTGATTACTTTCAGCCAGGGGAATAGAGGCAGAATTAAATCAAAAAGTGTGTTACCTGTCGTTAATAACATCAACAGTGGAAAAATATCATGCCTTGTGATTTCTGTATCCCGTGTGGTTTATGTCCTACAATTATTGAACAGGAAAGGTATTGTAGAATGATGCTTTGGACTTCACTGACATCTTTTATGACACTGAGAGGCCTCCCAGCCTTATCTCCTCAACCTTGCTCACGTCAGGGTGCTGTCGGTTTGGCATAAAACATGTTCACCCAGGTGTAAAGTGAGCTGGCCTCAGTGGCTGTGTGTCTGCTTCCCTTACAGTGGCCTCAAAAACCTGATTGCTTCAGACACTCAAGTTCTCCAACAAACACAATTTCCCCAGACATGAAATGAAAATGGACCAGGAAGGAGAAACTGAGTTGATGTTGTTTCTCTCTTGGCTCATTGCTCAAAGCCTGGATGTGGGAATTTGTGGAGTTGGGCTAAACTAATCCTGAACTCGGCAAGTTTACTACTTAAAGGCTTTTCCCACCTCACCCATCGCCATCACCTTGGTCACTGTCACCATCCTGCTATCGTCATCTGTTCTAGTGTCTCTTCTCTCTAAAGATACAGTGAGATTTCTGAAAGTGAAGTGTGTGGAATGCCAGTTCTACTTGAATCATTTGCCTGATTTTATAAAGTTAAATTTATTGGTTAAGCACCTGGTATTTGTCAGCCTTTGTAGGGACTCAGCCATCATCAAAAGCAAACATTTTTGTCCTCATGGAGCTGACATTTCTGTGACCAGGGGCAGTAAACAATATCCACCATACATAAATGTCAGTAGTAGAGGGTGGTGGGAGTTGGTGAGTGTTCTAGGATCATAAAAGCAGACCAGAGGTCACGAGGCTGTTTCTGGTCCTCCATTCATAAAATCCCTTAAATTCTTCCTAGGAGTCTTAAGTATAACTTCTAATTTGAAAAACCTACTACAGGAAGCTCTTTGTGCTTTAAGCATGTGCCACAAAAATAAAAGTCGTGGTAAGTGAGTGCCCCATAGTATCCAAATCTATCCCCACAGAAGATCAGCTTACCTTATAGCTCCTAGAGAATAGTGTAGCTGCTACAAGTGGACACAAAGGAATTGAAAGCAAGTACAGAAACCACATTGGGCTTATTTTGTCCAGCTTTCCCAGCAAAGACCCCCTTCCCTAACCCCAAACAAGCACCCTGCAAGGGCATGTGCAAATCATTAAGGAAAAACACCAGCGGAAATCTGGTGTTCTGAAGTCAAGGCAATCCATCTGGGGCTGTGGTTCATCAACAGTGTAACCTAAAACTCTCCTGTCTGTGGGTTTGTTTTTTAACAGGCAATCGGAAGAAAACAGGATGTACCAGAGTAGATGAGCTACAAGCTTTTAGAGGAAAAAGAAAATAAAAATATCATACCCCTTAAAAATTCATTTGGTATATTCCTTTTTATCCCTCTGCCTCTTTTCCTTATGTTAGGATGGAAAGAAACTTAGTGACATTCTGAACCAGGGTCCTTCTCCAAGGATAAGGAGTAGAGTATAAGACAACATGTGACTTGTTCAAAGTCAGTTAGTGGCAGAATCAGAAGGGAGAGGCTGGTCTGAGGGTTCCACAGCGCTGCTTCCAGAGACATCATCATACTCCTCAAGCCAGTATGGCCTAACGTTCTACAGCTGATTCCCACAGAAGCTTGGCAGTGGCAAGTGAGAAATGAAGATGTTTGTGAAAGCAGTCTCAATCCTCAGTAGAACTCTGAAGTAGAGAAAGCAAGGAATGGGAGATGGGCTGAGGGTGGGGTTTTACCTGGCGGTGGGCAGTGGGGAGGCAGGCAGCATTGTGTGGATGGTCTCTCTTCTAAACGTGTGTGGGTGATCATGTCTATTCCAATGGAAAGAACTTCCTCCATACCAAAGTAGTCTGCATTGATGGTGAAGGACATCTGTATTAGTCCATTTTCCATTGCTATAACAAAATACTCAAGGCTTGGTATTTTATAAACTAAAGAGCTTCATTTAGCTGACAATTTTGGAGTTGGAAGGTCTATGTGGTACCAGCTCTGGTGAGGGCCTCCCTGGCCACCTCACATCACAGCAGTAGCATCATGACAGCAGTGTGTATGAAAGGGAGAGATCTCATGGTGAGGCAGGAAACCAGAGAATGGGAAGAGGCCAGGCTTGCTCTTTTACAACAACCTTCTTTCAAGAACTAATGGGGCCAGGCTGGGGATTTAGCTCAGTGGTACTGCACCTGCCTGGCAAGTGTAAGGTCCCGAGTTTGATTCCTGGTACTGGGGAAAAAAACCAAACTAACCAGGGTCCCATGAGAACTACATGGGTAACAGTCCCAGTGGCCCAATCACCTTGCTCTAGGCTCCACCTAGTGAAAGGTTCTACTATCTCTCGGTATCACCATACTTCCAATACATGACCATTGGGGGATACATTCAAACCACATCAAAACCATAGTGGTTCTGCTTCCAGACTTAAGGACCTTAGAATTTACTGTCCCTCTGCCCATGAGTGGCTGTATGGCCACTAAGGGTGATGGGGACGCACAATGTGCTGTCTCTCTTTAGATCATGATGACGGAGAAATCAGTCATCCAGCCTTTACCATCACTGTTCTATAACATTGGAGCCCTTCCCATGGGCCAGGCACCAGACTAAGTGCCTTTGGTCTCCCATCAGATGGGCATCCATTTCAGAGGTGAGAATACCAAGGCTTGGAAAACTTCAGTCAGTTGAATGGACTCACAAAGCTAGTGTATGTCAAAGCTTCCATCACAGAGGTTGGTGGTTCAAAGTGTGGTTTGGGGTCATATCCCAAAGTATGGACCTGGGTATTTATTCCAGCTCCATGGCATGGTATCTATGGAGTGTTTGACAAGTTACTCTTAACCTCTTCAAGCCTCAGTTTCCATATCTGTAAAGTTGGAGTGATAATGATGGTATTAACTTGATGGAATGGTAGTGATGATTAGAGAATGTAACATAGTAACTACAGAGACATAGTAACCACTAATTGTGTGGTGGTGAAATATAAGTTAAACCACATGAGATTGCTATTGCAGTGGCCCAAAAATTGTCAAATATCAGCAGTCTCACATGGTTCAATCTAATTCTACCAATAGGCATACATTCTTCAAGAATATCACAATAGGGCTGGGGATTTAGCTCAGTGGTTCTGTTGCCTGCCTTGAAAGCACAAGGACCCGAGTTTGATCCCCGGTACCAAAAACAAACAAACAAAAAGAATATCACAATGGTTCTCTTAGTCATTTTATAACTTGTGAAAGGATAGGTGATTTAATTGCTTCAATATAATTTTAATTTCTCTTTTGCTTGCCTGGTTGTTTTAGCTTTCCTAAAGAATCACACAGATTTCTCCTAGTGTTACATAGCACCCATGCCAACATATGCAATATATACAGTTCCTGGAGCCAATAATCTGTCCAGAATATTGTTCCAGAGAACTTGAGTAGATTTCAAGTGAGTTTAGGTCAGACAGAGCTGAACTCTGAGGAACTTCCTGGTGAAATGAAGGAGTTGACACCCCCCCACACCCCCCATCCCCCTCCCTTCAAACTCCTGGGAATGTTTTGCTGTTTGAGGGAATGGCATTCCCACACTAAATGGCTGGTTGGAATAAACAAACGTCAAGCCTAGCCATTTGTCATTCTGCACAGTGGAGATGGAATATTGGTCAGCAGCAGGAGGTTGTTACATTTGACACATTCAATGTGAATTGTGTATCTCTGCTGCTCTTGAACTCTGACCTACTGGGAGTAGCGGTATGGTGGAAGGAAATGGAACTCAGTTGTGGCATTTGGGGAGGTTGTAGGGTAGGAGGAGTAAAATATAAGACTGGGATAAGAACTTTACCTTCCTAAAAGGAAAGAAAGCTACTTTTGAAAGAATACATCTGAGGGGGCCGGGGATTTAGCTCAGTGGTTCCAGTGCCTGCCTTGCAAGTGCAGGGTCCCAAGTTCAATCCCCAGTACCGAAAAAAAGAATCCATCTGAGGTGCAAGATCTAATGGAAGATTCTCTTCTGATAGACAAATCTGTACCCCACCCTAGCCACTACTCCCAGCCCTCGTGTGTAGATCTGATTTCCTTAGACTTCACATGATAGAGATATAAATAGCTGTGGAATTCAAGTGGACCATTCTGGAGGAACAGCCTTTCTAGCTGGCATAGAAAGTCTTTAAAATTGGTCTTACCTTTGAAATGTAATGATATTTTCAGGATGCTTTAGACTTTCTTGGTGCCTGGTGTGGAGATGACTACTGCGTATAGAGTATAATCCACCCCCCCCCCCGTGATTTAGGAATTGTCTCTTCCTGTGTGTGTGTGTGTGTGTGCGCGCGCGCGTGCGTGTGTGTGCGCGCGCGCGCGTGTTGGGGCATGTTCCTGCCTCTTTCCACGCCTAAGAACAATTTGCAAATCTTATCAAGATTCTTCTGCAAGGGAATTTGGAAGTGATCTGTGGATCCTATGAATCCTTTTTTTCCACCGCAGCAGCCCTTGCCTGATGGAAATGCATTCACATCCCACGCACTCCGACACACTTGGCGTCCCATTTTCTTTCTGTGTGCAGTTCTTTTCTCGCTCTCTCTTTGTGTCTGTGGTTACTATTAAGCTGACCCCTACAGTCTGGGGCAGATACCAAGCTTGAATCAAGCACGACTTATCCATACAGCTGCAGAGGATTGCTGTTTCAGCGGCTCCGACGATAGATGTAAGTTCCTTTAGCTCTTTGGGGAGCCTATGATGGTCCTGTCCACAAAGGTGCCTTGCACTCCACTTTGCTGAAATTTAAAATGCAGTGTTTTGTCTTATTTTTTCTAAGAAGCATCTTCATAAATTTTTACATCTAAGGTAATTTTTACAATATTGAACTTCATTGTTGGAAACCACCACTGTAAAAAAAATCTTTCTTTTTATTTGCTTCTCCCTCCCCTTCTCCCACTTTCTATAAGAAACTGTTGCTTGCAAAAAGCATCGCTCATTAACAATTGAACTTAATCTGCTGCCAAGACGCCTGCGCAGAGACCACCAGTGAGGGAGAAGAGCAGATAAAGAGGCACTGGGTGGCCGCTCCTTTACCTCCACTTTAACTGTCACTGCAGCACATGGGTTGTTTGTGAGTCAGAGGAACTCAGAGCCACCTGTGTTGCGAAGCGTAGGAGAGCGCTTACATGGTCCCACAGGTTTTCCTTACCAGAGCTAACAGCCTCTCCAGGGCATTCGGTGGAGGGACAGAAACCGGTTCTCAGCCTCCTCCAGCTGAGTGGACTTCCCAGTACCTGGGGGGCTGCTCCCAGTCAGGCCGGCAGCCTGTGATTGGCTGGAAAGAGGGCAGGAACTGCAACTGCCTTTTGGACGTAGCTAATCAGAGGTGCCTGGGCGGTGACAGACACCTGTGTCCTAGCTCTTGCCTTCCTGGGGCTGGCCCTGGAGTCTTTCTGCGCCAGATTTGTGCCTCTGGGCCTCCTGCCCCGGGCCACTGAACCCCCTCCTGGGCCAGCTTGGCCCAGTGTCTTGCTGAGCAGAAAGGACCAACATAACTGAGGACAGCGAGAGCCAGGGCTAAGACCTCTGCAAGGTAAGTTTATTTTAAACTAGTTATTTCTCAGTGATACTATTTCTACCTTTATCTTGAAGAAATGCCAGCATTGGGAAGGTAAACTGAAGAAAGGTAAGGAACTTATTCAACGTAGGCTTTAACGATGAAGCCAGCAAGTTATCCAGCTATTGGCTATACGAGCAAAATGAGTAAACTCAGATGTGAAAGAGACGGAGAGACCCCATAAATTCCTGTAACCCTTGTGTACACTCTGTATCTCCTTGTGCTCCTTCCTGTTTGATGAGGACTCTGGCAATGATAGAGTAACTTTTCATTGAGGACACAAACCTATATGCTAAGTCACACAATGACAGAAAGGCCGAACATCTTGACTCCCTCGAGTTGTTCAGCCCCATGACTTATTGCCCAATTTTGATTACAACTTATTTTTTAAATATCTTATTTTTTGTCTTGTGATATGAAAGCAGCTTTTCTTTTTCAGATTCGTCCAACCTAGATGAGTTAGTGAATTCCACTTTACCAAGGGGTTTTGATTGTCCTGGTTCACTCCCTTTGCCCAAGCTTGTGTTCAAGCACTTAGATTCAAACAACAGTTGAGATGCTTAAGAATGTGAAGCTGTGATTCTGATTAAGCTTACTTTGTACTCTGATTTCATTGTACTTGTAAATCAGCTAACGAATACTTCAAGGACCATCCTATCTTCCAGCTTGGGTTACTGTTAGAATGCTTGTGCTTTGAGGATTTAGTAATCAAAGATCTGTAAAAAGGTTAAATGCTTTGGGACCAGTATTTTTCACCCAGGCTGTTTTGTCATGATAGGGAGGGAGTAATTTTTCTCTGGATTTTAATTTTTTAAAAATGAAAACATTTGGGCAGGGGATTTAGCTCAGTGGTTCTGGCGCCCGCTGCGTAAGCACAAGGTCCTGAGTTCGATCCTGGTACCAAAAAAAAAAGAAAGAAAAGAAAAAGAAAACATTTTATAAATGGGGGAAAAGGCCCCTTTATAAACCCAAACAAGCTCTAAGAGGACATTTTATTAATTTCAAGGGTTTAAACACTTTCATGAAAGGAATGTGTTTACCAGGTCCTGGTGATCCCAGTCAAGAGTAACCAGCAATAGGGAAGACAGATAAGGTGTGAAAAAGAGGTGATAAGCCTTCAAAAAGTAATGTTAAAGAAATCTATGTTAGTCATCCTGAAGTATGTCTTTTTTTTCCCTGTTTATAGCTTCTGTACTTGAAATTTTCCACCTATCTCAGCTGTCAGTTAATGTCTTTATAAAAAATTTTTTGTATAATATCAACATATTAGTAGTGCTAAATACAAATACTAAAAATGACTGCTTTGGTAAATGAAAGCACCAGAAATGAAATGTGATCATCACACAAGTCTACAGCAATCATTTTAAATATCATATGAGTGCAAATAGTACATATATGGTTTATGATGACTTAAATATATA